AATCCCCATCAAAATACCAACACAATTCTTCACAGACCTGGAAAAATAATACTCAACTTCATATGGAAAAACAAAAAACTCAGGATAGCCAAAAGAATCCTGTACAATAAAACAACTTCTGGAGGCATCACAATCCCTGACTTCAAGCTCTACTATAGTGCTACAGTAATAAAAACAGCTTGGTATTGGCATAAAAACCAACATGTGGACCAATGGAATCGAATTGAAGACCGTGACATTAACCCACACACCTATGAACATATAATTTTTGACAAAGAAACAAAAAGTGTACAATGGAAAAAAGAAAGCATCTTCAACTAATGGTGCTGGCATAACTGGATATCAACATGTAGAAGGCTGCAAATAGATCCATAAATGTCACCGTGCACAAAACATAAGTCCAAGTGGATCAAGGACCTCAACATAAATCCAGCTATTCTGAACCTGCTAGAAGAGAAAGTAGGAAGTAGTCTTGAACGCATTGGCATAGGAGATCACTTCCTAAATATAACACCAGTAACACAGGCACTGAGAGAAACAATCAATCAATGGGACCTCTTGAAACTGAGAAGCTTTTGTAGAACAAAGGATATAGTCAACAAGGCAAAGCGACAGCCTAAAGAATGGGAAAAGATCTTCACCAACCCCACATGTGACAGAGGACTGATATCCAGAATATATAAGGAACTCAAGAAATTAGACATCAAAACGACCAGCAGTCCAATTGGGAAATGGGCTTTAGAACTAAACAGAGAATTCTCAACAGAGGAAACTCAAATGGCTGAAAGACATTTAAGGAATTGCTCAACATCCCTAATCATCAGAGAAATGCAAATCAAAACAACTCTGAGATACCTCCTTACACCTGTCAGAATGGCTAAGATCAAAAGCACTGAAGACACTTTATGCTTGAGAGGATGTGGAGTTAGGGGAACTCTCCTCCACTGCTGGTGGGAATGCAAGCTTGTACAACCACTTTGGAAATCAATATGGTGCTTTCTTTGAAAATTGGGAATCAATCTCCCCCAAGATCCAGCTATACCACTCCTGGGCATATACCCAACAAATGCTCAATCATACTACAAGAGCACTTGCTCAGCTATGTTCATATCAGCATTGTTTGTAATAGCCAAAACCTAGAAACAACCTAGATGCCCTTCAACTGAAGAATGGATAAATAAATTGTGGCACATATACACAATGGAATACTACTCAGCAGAGAAAAACAATGACATCATGCGTTTTGCAGGCAAATGGATGGATCTAGAAAAAATCATCCTGAGTGAGGTAACCCAGACTCAGAAAGACAAATATGGTATGTACTCACTCATAGGAGGATGCTAGATGTGGAACAAGGATGACTGGACTGCTACTTCTAGATTCTTAAAAGTTGGGTTATTTGGTTGATGAAGAAAAATAATTGTAAAAGATAACTTTATCATGGATGACTAAACTTGAGGGAAAATAACTATAAAAGATAACTCTGTTCTCTTATGGCTTATCTATGATGACCAAACATATGACCCCAAACATACATGAGAAAAAGTTAAACACATGTGTAAGAACAGAATTGATCTGATCTATGTTTTGGAACAACATAACTCTGTCCCTGCTTACTGAATTCTGTATAAATATAGAAGCATTCTGACTGCTAGTTAGTCAGGCTGCAAGAGGCTCACCACCACCATGGCCTGTCTAAATCCTTCCCTAAACTACTCATTGCCTCCTTCCACTGGGGCTCGCCCATACCTGAAAAAGACCTTTGTAGCTGAAGTTGTTCACAGCAGTTGCAACATAAATAGATATAATTAGGACATATTTATGTTAGGACATACCACAAGTCTCAAAGATATAGAAATTAAATTTGACACAATGAAATGAAGATATATATCAATAATTAAAAAAATAATGATAGAAAATTCATAAACTTATGGAGATTAACAAAGAATGACAATTGTGTCCAAATATAAATCAAGAAGAACATTTCCTAGAATCAAATAAAATTAAAATACAACAAAATCCGGAGTGTTAAATGCCTACACAAAAATAAGTGGTTTAAATTTAATAATAATGATTTACCTTCTTAACACTTTTGAAGAACAAAAAGAAATTAAAACCTAAAACACTAGGTAGGTAGAGAAAATAAAAATCACATCTGCAATTATTGAAATGGAAGCAAATGAACAGACAATACAAGAATCAATGAAAACGGGGACAGGTTCTTTGAAAAGATAAACAAGATTGACAAATGTGAAAAAATAAAAAGAAATAAAAAGCACAAATTAGTAAAATTAGAGATCAAAATGTTTATTAAAATAAACATCAATGGAATTTTAAAACTCCTTGAGACATACCTTACAAACCTCTATTCAACTAAATTGAAAAGTGCAAAATACATAAATTTTGAGTTTTGTGTCTGTTTGAGTTATGTCCGTAGTTGTCAGGTCGTTCTATTAAAAATATAAAATTAAGCACATTCTTCTTATATATGAGCAAGAGAATAGAGAGTGGATTTTAGGTCATGAGGTCTTGTCCTCCTATCACTACAGTCCATCCTGAGGATGTGAGCCTCCCATGTTGCTTGGAAGCTGAATCTTTGGACAAGCACACTTTACCATCACTCATGAGAAATGGAATATCTATTCCTAACTTTTCTATTGATTGATTCAGTCTCCTAATAGGGAAGATGTCTTCTGGGTGACTATGGTCATATGGCTTATGGCAATCACAGGAAAGTGACTTAGATTTAAGAAACTAATCAAGATGGGATTTTGCAATGTAACAAACTCATCTGAACACGAAGCTAGGAAGAAAGAAAAACTTATTAAAATTGTAAGTGGAAATGTTCAGTGAAGCTGAAAGAATCCCTGAACCTAAGTGCTGAGAACATGGATCATAAAAACTATGTCTAACCCACATTTGAAAATTCAGATTCAAGACTCAAATGTAACATTTACTACTACAACGATTTCTTCTAACATTCTACACTTATACTTGAAGTTTTCTTCTCATCATTTTTCCAGTGATTATTTCTGAAAATATCCACTGTGTGTGTGTGTGCACACGCACACGTGTGTGTGTGTGTGTGTGTGTGTGTGTGTGTGTGTGTGTGTGTGCGTGTGAGTGTGTGTGTATTTACATTTCACTGTCTATTCTTTTGAGCACCTGTAAATCTTCACTTATCGGGGTACATGTATGTTTTACCTTCAAATACTCACATTCATTTGTTACATCCAAGCAGACCTAAGGCAGGTACAGGTGTCTGTGGGTGATTGTTGTCTACAGTGGCTGCTCTGCAGGCCAGAACTTCCCAGCAGTGTTGTATTCTCCATCTCTTCATTATCTGTTTTAAGCCTGTAGACCACCACATTGTTCATCTTCTCTGACAGCATGAAAGAGGCTGATGTCACTGTTTCTAATACATGATTTCAACATGTGGAATGTTTACTACATTTATATTGGGATGTGTTATAATAACTGTAGGTTTTATACCAAGTTAGTGGTGCTATACAACGCCTCTCTCCTTTTCATGTGGCTTCCGTGTCAACACAGCACTGAGAATATTCAATGGAAGAACAGAGATAAATTTTCTATGTGTCCAACCACTAAACTCATAATCCTGGTTAAATACCAAGGGGAGGATATTTTCTCAGTTGCTGTCTGGGCACAGCAGAACCACATCCCTCAGGGTTTCTGACACCCTCAGGATGTGGTTGTCACACTGTGCCTTTTGCACAGTAATACATGGCCGTGTATTCATTCTTGAGGTTACCGATCTGCAGGTATGCAGTGCTGATAGAGGTGTCCAAAGAGAAGACAAACTGACTTTTGAAGTCCTCAGCATATGTTGGATTCCCACTGTAGGTATTGATCCAGCCCATCCACTTCAGGCCCTGTCCTGGTGTCTGCTTCACCCAGTGCATTCCATAGTATGTGAAGGTGTACCCTGAAGCCTTGCAGGAGATCTTCACTGACTGTCCAGGCTGCTTCAGCTCAGGTCCAGACTGTACCAGCTGGACCTGTGATTGGACACCTGTGGAGAGAACATGGGAAAGTGAGGGGCCATGGAACAGCCTCAGTTTCCTCTGCAGCTCCGGGCTCTGATGTCTTACTTTGGGCAGCTGCCAGCAGGAAAAAGAGCCTCCAGACCCTCTCCATGTGGTATGAGATTGGAACAGAGTAGATTCTTGAGACTATTCTGACACTCCCTTGATGGTTGAGGCAAGTGAGACTCAGATTTCTACTCTAAAGTCTTTGCATAGGGCAGATTTGCATATGACCAGACATTGAACAAAACTAAATATACAATCTAATACACAAGAGTCTGTGGCTCCTAGTGGGTAAGCCAGTCCCTTTCATTGTCTGGTTTTCATGTCTTCAAGCTGATTGTGTTTCCCCCCAAGGCCTCAGCGTGAGCTGGGCTTGCACACTAATGTCCTCATCAATGTACATTCTCACTATTTGATCTTGTGTAACAGGGGTAGAGTGGCCTATGCTTCCCATTCATCCTGTACCTGTCCTAGAGTGTGGTCAGACTCAGTGACTTTATCCTTTCCAGTGGAGACTGCTCTCTGCACACTGAGACCTCTGCATCAGTTCATCATTGCCTATTGCTTCTAAATGGGTGCTGTTTTTGAACTCTTAAGTTCCTCTGCACTCTCATATCAGTGTCTAACTTTTCTTGATGAAGCATGTAGAAATAAAGTACATTTCTATTTAAAATTATGAAATCTCTATTCTCCATTTACATGTCATGCAATAAAAGTTACAGATTTGAAAAAGTGTAATGTGATATATGGGGAAGTTTGGAGGAAATCATTACTTATATTAACAAAAATTAAAAATTATAATAAAAATTGAGAAGCAGACTTTATAATAAAGAATAGTTTAGATATCTGATAAGATGGATCAGTGGTTATACACATAAATTGATTTCCAAAAGACCTGAGTTTGTTTTCTAGCATCCACATCAGGTACCTTAACAATGAACTGTAATTCTGGCTCCAGGGGCAGCCAAGTCCTTCAGCTTCCTTGGGCACCTACAAACATGTTCACATACCTACACAAAGACATGGACACATAATTAGACTAATAAGAATGTGAAAACAAAGAACAGTTTATTAATCAACCAACTTACATGAAAAAGCTCACACTAAAACAATATTGCATTTATTTCTTGTAATATTTTAACTGTCAATAAATCTGTGTTCATATGAAGAAATTGCAGAATAGACATTCTGTTTTGGATAATTTGAAATTTCATGAAAACCCTTTGATCATTTTAATTTCATTTCTGCTCTTTTATAATCCAAACTTAACAAAACTGTACAGCATTATAGGAATCTCATTCTACCTACTTTCCACATTTGATGCTTTTGATGAGATCCAAAAAGCAACAATACATTGAGTGATATGAACCGAGTTCCTAGAATCATTAGAAGCAGAGTTATGGATAGGGGGAGAAGGAGAGGTACTAGGGATGTTTTGCATCTGACTTAAAGTGAAGCAGTGTTGTGTGAATGTGGATGATAGTCTGTGCTGAGACTGCAGACTAAGGACAGGCAATTACAACAGGCTGCAAAACAAAAACAGTGGAGTGAGACAGGAAATGAAAGAAATGAGCACCAGTGTGCTGTGCACACAGACCAGACTTTTGTGCTCCACCATCCATGTTCTTGTAGCACAAATGCTATTTGTCAGAGGAAGTCAACAGTTGCCAGCTTCAAAGATCTGCAGTTTGTTCTGCACGCTGGGCAGGGAGAGGAAGCCAGGGCTGACAGAAAGTGGCTTCTGGCCTTCTGTGCACCTGGCTCAAGGATACAATTGAAACCATAGAGATTTGGCACCCCCTGAAGTATCACCGACTCCCTGCAGTTTGCTGTCCCTACCCTGATTGAGCATCATAATGGCTCCCTATGCACTCTGTCAGAGATAAAGTCCTGTCTCAAGGCCACTCCATGATTTGGACTTGGGGAAGATGAGATTGCAGAATTACATAATTTTCTGATAATTTCAAATTATGATGTAAAATCATGTCTTTGTTTACTTCTGCTGTTGGCATATGGATCACATAGGCATAGGTGACTTCTTGTGGCATGTGTATTAGTTGGTCTACCAGGAGCATTTAGATGAGCCCTTTCCATTATTGATGTTGTAGGGCAGGCACGGCTTTGTGTGAGACAAGACCTCTTCTGTAATAGAGGATTAATTGTTCTTTGTGATGTTAGTTGATCTTTGTCTGTGAGGACACAGATGTGTCACAATCAGTGATATAACTTACAGTGTTGGTCTTAGATGTGTCTATACACAGGACAAGAGACAGAATGTTCTTTTCTCTGGTCTCTTCTGTTCTCCAACGATCTCTCTGTGGCATCATCTCAGAGCCTCATTCTGAACCACATGTATGTTTTCTTCCTGGGAGTGTACAGATATATTCACTGTACCATTTAAAGGTTTATTAATTTCAATTCAAATAATTGTTTGCCATTTAATTCTATCTGTTCATCATGTTCAAGTTTTGTATGGCATACACACGAGTAACCATGTAAGTGAACAGAAACCTTGACAATTACAGCATTCATAATGCTAGGGATACCCCAGCTCTCTCTACTTCCTAATATTACTTCAGATTCAAAATAATAAATAAACCTTCATCCCTTATTCACATCCCATATTTCCAGGTCCTGCCCTTCATTTGCCAGCCCATCTTTATGGATTCGTCTGGCCTTGAGTCTCATGGAGATGGAAATGTGATTTATGAAATAATAGTCTACATTTCTTTTCAATTTTAAGCTCCTTGCGATTCATCCACACTGTGGCATAGAAATCACTGCATTCATGCTAAATGTTGAAAGCACAACAATACATTTTATGGAAATAGCACACATGTTCAACAGTTGTTGGTTTATGGAGTAGAGTATAATCGGCTATAAAGCAATGACTATCTGTGTGAAAATTTTTGTTCAAATTCCAAAATTTGGCATTTTATGGTACACCACAATGAGGCAAATTGATGAATGAAATGCTAACTATTTGTTTTGAGTATTGAACCTCTTTCTACAAGCACACTTAGTGTTCTCTTTCATTCTCTGTGTGTGTGGGCGTGCTATGTATGGTGTTTTTAAGTTTTGTGGATGCGTACACGTGTGTACACAGGTGAGTGTGCTTGTGTGTATAGATAAATATGGAGGCCAGAAGTAGATTTTGGATGTCTCTCATCTACCACCATATAACCATCTCTTTTTAATTTTTATTATTATTTTTATAATTTGATTTAATATTACATATCATCCATGGATTCCCCTATCTTCCCTCCTCCTGCCTCCCCTGCCCTCCTCCCCCAGCCCACCCCCATTCCCATCTAAGATAGGGTTTCTAAGTGAAAATGAAGTTCACCAAAGAAGCCTAATTGGCCTGCCAATAAGCTTCAATGATCCATCTGTCTGTCTCCCAGTGTTGGATTTATAGATACTCACTGCCATTCTCAGATTTCTACTTGGATACTAGGGATCCAATATTAAAGTCTCTTGCTTGTACAACTACTTTACTAACTGAGCTGTCATCCCACCCCTCACTTTTTATTCTTTTAGGGCATTTTGAATTTAACACAAGGCCTAAAATGTAGTAGGCAAGCACTGTGTTACTGAGCTATATCAGCTGCCCTCACTTGCCACTCACGTTGATCATGAGATCATTTCTGCTGTACCTTTCCTATCACCATGTGGAAATACCATTAGGAATAGATGAAGAATAGTTCAAATACTAAGTTTTATATAATAAACATGTAGGCAATATTATATTAAGTGGAGACAAGTTTCTTGCATATAATAATTTAATTTTTTAATAGACCCCCAAAATAATACTCATAGGTCATATGGCAATTCCATATTAATTTTATTAGGAATCTCCTTAATAATCATTTGTCAGTTTCTCTGAAGGGTAATGAACAATGGTCTATGCACCTCAGATAGGATGCCAATATTAGACCAATGAAACAATTGCATTCAAGTATTATTTGTTGAATTAGTGATTTATTGGACTTCTGTGGGTGACACGCAAATAGCTAGATTACAAAAATAACCCTCCACAACTTGAGAGACAATCTCTATTGAAGGCCTTATGGAGAGCCTGCTCCAAAGCCACCTCTAGGGTAATGTAAGAAAATTCATGAAGGCAACAAGGGCTAGATTTTTTCTCTCTGAGGGTGTTTAGAAATACGTTTCTATCTGACTGGTAAATTAAGAAAACTCACATGCTTTATGATGTTAACTTTCTCTTTTACTTCATCTTAAAAATGGTCTCTGACTCTTTCTGTCTCCACACTGCCACATATTTCCACACTGCTGTGTACACTATCATATCATTATACATGTACATCTTTTCCCATGACTTCATATCTTTCTTTTACATACATTTCTCTTCTACTTACCTTTTCTATACAGCTTCATTTTACTTCTCTCCACACAGTTCCAAATATCTTTGTCACAGATACATCTACACATTTCTTCTCTCTACTCTGTAATATTCCTTCACATATTATTACATCATTTTTAATGCTTCACTCACTCCCTCACACTTCTCTCATGATTCTTTCTCTTCCTCTTCCTCCTCCTCTTCTTCTTCTCACGTCACTCAGCACAAACACACACACACACACACACACACACACACACACACACACACACACACTCTTCTCTCAATTCTGTCCTTAGTGACATATCTGAGGCAGGAAGATATGACACTAGTTGATGTGGCGAAACAATGGAAGAGCAACACCCCAATAGGATTTTGTTTAGGCAGAGAAACATTCAAGAGATCTATGAGCAAAAGATAGTGACTGCTATAGATGAAATAAAGTGCAGATTGAAAATTATCAAGTGTGCACATTTTAACTGGGCTTACCACTTAGATCTGTGTTTTTTATACATCACCTTTGCTTCATTCTTGTGGACTATTTTTAATTGAAAAGCCTGTAAACAAACAAAATTGAAGCAGAACTGTTGGCAAGATCCAGAGAATGGAGGAGAGCCCCACACATGGCTAATATTTTGTGCTATAATGTGGACACATCTGTCAACATCAACCAGGCAGGCACTCAAGAATGCATATGTGCTGTTCAGATCAGTGTTTTTCCACCAGATTCACACAAGATGTAACAC